CATCTGTTCCCAAGTGCTTACACACACACACAGACACGTTAATTTTGCTTGTGAAATTGGTGCATTTTTACCAGAGCTTATAATTGTCCTTATGAGACCAACTGTAAAAATGTATCTCTGTGAGGATGCTCTCTCTGATACGCTGAGCAAACTCACTGAAACCATACTACATTTACATAATCAAATTAGTAATGAATCAACATGAATATCAAAGAGTTTTCGGAAAAAGGAGTAATGTCTTAACATATAAATAGAAATGGGATAGGGCACATCACAAAGAGCCTTTAATACACATGTATGGTAATAAAAGGAGCAGATGATAAAAACAAGAGACACTAGATCTTAACAGATGCTCTTTAAGGTGTCATCTAAATGAGAGCATGCATGACTTACAGCTGCTCAGCAGTTAAAACTTTACAAGGTTAATGAGAATCAAATCATCTGTGCACACGTGTGTAATTTTCTAATATTGGCACACTGCAAACACTTCAATATTTTAAGGATTACTCCAAATTTCATTTGACTAATTGATTTAAAACTGGTAGAAATTCCCTACTATAGCTCAAAGCCTCAAGTTATGGCAATAAAAGGTTTACTCTCACCTTACATTGCAAGTATTGTAATATTTAAACAACTGTATCAATGCTTCATCTTTAAAATTGCACTGGAAAAAGCTTCACCCAGGCAGTTTTCCCTAGATAAACAGCCTGTCTAGATGGGAATGTTTTGAAAATCATCCAAATCTGCTTCATTTGAGCGCTTTTGCAATACATTAAGTCAACTTTCTTGCTGTTTGTACATTCTCATTGTTGTGCAGCTACAAGGCAAACTGGGCCTATGACAGATTGTTCTTCATCTTGACGTTCCTGGCTCCTAGCACTGCAACACGAGGTGGAGCTCCCTGAATGTGCAGGCCGAGACAAACGGGCCAGTTAGACAAACATCTAATAGATGATATCTCCAAACAAATACTAAAGTGCCCTGCAGTAAACCAACAGGTTTCTGGATATCATCATAGTCGGTTTACTGAGTAAACCAAAGAGCTAAAAATTTGTTTGTTTGTTTTTTACATAAAAGACAAATGAAATCATAATAAAATAAAACAAGTGGCTACATATTATGCTTGGTATTTTAAATAAGATATAGTGTAGACAGAGTGATTCAGATAAAAGATACATTTTCCCAAATGTTCACGACATTTGAAATTAGGTTAAAAGATCATATTTGTAAAACCTTTGAATAAGCACTATGCACTCTGCTTATAGTTCGATTTTATTTGTGTAAGTGTAAAAACAAATTTCAAGGGGGAGAAACAGCTACAGCATTACAACATAACTAAAGAAGTGGAAATCCTGGAAAGATTACAGAAATCGACACAGCTGTGATAGCAGCAAAAACATAAGACAACATTCTTTATTAAACTTTTACATTTAAAAAATAAACAATATAGCAAATGAAGCAAGTACTTCTGCAATATCCATATAGCAAGTCTTTTTTGCTCAGAAGCAGAAGTAGTGCCGTCTTCTTGGTCTTCCAACAAGTTAGCTAATTTGCAAACTTGTTGCGAATGATCTCTCCTCCCTCTACCTCCACCTGCTCATACAACCATTTCCGGTCGCATCGGCACTCCACACCGCACTTCCGCGATCCGCACTCGGGACATGGGTAAAAGCAACCCATGCAGTCTACATCGAGACAGTCACACAGATCCCTTCCACATGAGATCAACAGACCTTTGCTGTCATATACTTTACTCTTGAGCGACATGGTCTGTCTGCAGGGACAAGAAAGATGGCAAAAAATGGGGGAAGTTCATCCAAACGGTTTTTTTCTCCAATGCTTAAGACACCATATAAAACACTTTGAATACAACTGGAATTCAATTAACTGAAACCGTGATTTGTATGCTAATCTTTATTATGGCTGAGGTGATGTGTTCATGAGTTTGAGAATCTAGACAAGACATGTACCTGTCACCCAACGAGACCTTCCCTGCACGTCTCCGGTCATTCACACCTCTGCTCTGCAATAAAGAAACAAAAATGTCTGATTGACAAAAGAAAAAGTAGTCAGCTGAACTATAGCTGATCCTTTTTAAATGGCACTGATTAATTTAGAGAGCAATGCTTTGACACCTTCTGGCTAACCACATTTCAGATTTGCTCAAAAAATACACTTTTCTTACATTTTTGGCACTTTCTATGGAAGTTTGTTTCTGATACCCAATAAAAAGAAAAAACAAGGTAATTGTGACTTTTCCCCCCTTGCAATTCTGAGTTTATATATGACTTTTTTCCTCAATTGCAAGAAATACAACTTAAACTTTTGACAAGAAAAGTCTGAATTGTGAGATGTCAAATTACCTTTATTATATATATTTTTTTATTTTGTGGAAAAAAAAAAAAGAATTGTGAAAAGTAAATGCAGAAAGTCTGAAGAGCAAGAATTGTTAAAAAATGAAAACTTAATTGAAACTTCTATACTTTTTAATAATTAAACTGTTATTCAGAATTCCATTTTCTTAATCATTTTAAAAATGCCAGAAAAAACTCATATAACTTAAGGCCTTAAGTAATGACAAGAAAGGTTTAGTCTAGTCTTACATTGCAATTGTAATAATTAACGCTATGCAGCTTCATCTATATTCTATACTAGTGGTTCCCAACCCTGGTCCTGGAGGCACCCCAACACAGCACGTTTTGCATGTCTCCTTAATCAAACACACCTGATTCAGGTCTTCAGCTCGTTAGTAGAGACTCCAAGACCTGAAATTGGAGTGTCAGAGAAAGGAGACATGCAAAATGTGCAGTGTTGGCGTGCCTCCAGGACCACGGTTTGGAACCACTGATCAATACAATTGCTTTGCCAGTTATTTCCACTGGGAAAAAAAAAAAGGTTCATGCAGGCTTAGTTTTCCATAGACAAACTGCCTGTCTAGAATGTTTTGAAAATCATCAAATCCGCCGCTTGTTTTTTTTTTTTTTTGCAATACCTTATCCAGGCGTCAACTTTCATGCTGTTGTACTAGGGCAGGGGTGGCGAACGTCGGTCCTGGAGAGCCGCAGCCCTGTGCAGACCGATCGGTGTGACATCACAGTACCATACAGACGGTTATGCTTTCGAAAAGCTCTTGAGGTACTTTGATGTCAAACACTGATCGGTCTGAGCCGCACTGCTTTTAAGTCGAACACACCTAATATGTACGCGTAATTGCATCGCTTTGACCGTAGATCCCACCTTCTCACACACCATGATTGGTCCATTATGTACAATGCTTGCATGTTATTGGTCAAGCTACTTTTTGATCATTACCTTCAGCATGCATGAAAACAGGAAAACAAAGCCAAAACAAATCCTGGCCAGGACGCGTCCTGGGAAAATGGCACGTATGGTCACCCTATGTTGTACACGCTATTGCTGTGCTGTGAAATCAACATATCTACACAGACTTGTATCTTTGCACACCTTGTGGCCAAACAACTTTTAAGATTTGCTCAATTCACATACAGCAAATCTGAAAATGAGATTTTTTTCTCCATGAGATTAAACAACAAAAAAAGTGTGAGATGTGTTAATGACTTTCAGAGAAGCTAAAAACAGACTAAAGAAAGTGTTAGTAATTGCATATTCATTCAGCAGTGCATGTGTTACCTTCAGGCTAGAGTCTCTTATAGGCTGTCTTCTGTCTTTTGTAATTAGTTTGGCTCTGTCTTTATCAGAAAGTGAACCAAACCGACTGGGATCATTTGCATCCTTTGCCACTAAACCTCCTCTGTTTTTCCGTAACTCAATCTGTAAGCAATTCATAAATAAAACAATGAGTGGGATTGCATTGCTGAAGCAGTTACATTGATGTTTTTGAACTGTATAACAAGAATAACTCTACTAAGTGCAAAGACACACCTTTGAGCCTTCTCCTCCAGAGTTTGTGAAAATAGTCGGCACAGCATCCTCTCTGAGAAACAGTTTTCCGTTATAGTCACGGAAGCAGTCAGGCTGGAAATGCTCCGAGCACAAGCAGGAGTTCTGAGTGGGAACAAAGTTCTTTCTCCCAAGGTTTCGTACCCATTGCTCGGCTAGCTGAGGCTTGCTGATTGGAAACCTGAACAGAGAGAAAGAAAAGGTGGCTGCAACTCCATTGGTTACTGTTACTTCCAATACAGTTTATCTAGGCATGCATATTGTATTCTGAAATCAGCAACCTGTGGAAATCACCTAGATTTAAAAAGCGGAAGTATCATAATCAGCTGTTACAAGTCCTTTTTTTTTCTTTTAGTGGCAACATAACACAAGCAAGTTAATTATGTTATGATATTAAGTATAATATCCATATCTGCTGCCATTAGATTATACATATTAAAAGTGAAAAGAGGAGCACAGACAAACACGACGCGCCACAATAATCAAGAAGGGTCAAATATTGTGTTGCCTCAAGATAGAAAGTAGTATTTTAGGTATTTTACATTTACGACTTATACATGAACTATGAAAACCTCTATCTGTATGCACAGCATCTACAGCAGCTCGTGCACATGTAAACAGTGAAGCTTAACACAAAGCTCAAGCGTATCAAAAAATCATGTTATGTTCGTTACCTATAGAATCTGATCTCTGACCCTTTGGCAAACCGGTTTGAGCAATCAATAGCTGAACAGGAGATCGGCATGGTGCTGTATTCGTGTTAAAACGCTAAAAAATCTGTTATTGTTCCACACGAACCACAATCATTTTCACAAGCAGCACCGCGGGAGCATCAAAACGCGGACTTTGTTAACTGCGCATGCGCTGTTATTTGTTTGGCGGCCTCTGGACAGCCACACAGCGAGATCCATTTCTTTTCATTGGAGATCACGTAACGTATTTTGCTTATGAGGAGATAAGCCATTGCTTCAATATTTGATAGTCAAAACAACACTTAAAAATAAGCTAATGAAAAAATAAAAAAGACGTAAACTTGTAACTTTTATTTTGAAATAAGTCGTAACCGGAAGTTGAACAAACAGTTCCCTCGGTGTTTATAGTAGCCACATGGATCTGGAAGAGTAGTGGAAGGTATAAGGAGGTTCCGAATGGATCACTTCGAGAAGGATTTAGTTGATGCGCTTAAAGACGTTGTCGAGGCTGGAAACTGGCAGTGTGTGGGAGACAAGTCGAAATTTAAGTCACCATGCACGAAGTAAGCGCTTGTCATTGTATAAATGCACACATAAATATATGATGCTCTTGAACTGTTACAAGAAGATATTCTGTAAAACAACTTTTTGGAAAGGAGATTTTAAAAAGTGTAAATTGATTTATTTTATAAAATGGAATTAGACAACAAATGTTAAAAATGCATGTGTTATGAATGTTATACTAAAGCATAATTTACAATGGGGGAAAATGTCTTAAATTAGAGAAATGCAGTGGGGTCCAAAAGTGAGACCACTTGCATGTATTAAAGAATGAACATATGTACAGTAGATATTTGTATTTTCACTAAGAAAATTCATGTTAGTATAATATTTCTTCGTATATACACATTTTCTGAAAATATATAAAAAAAATAATAACAATATTTTTAAGGTTTTACTCTGATGATGGAGAGCATATAGTCCTGGTGCATACAAAGAATGATCAATTCTGGGCTATGGATTCATCTTGCCCACACGAAGGTTAGTTGTAACTCTAGTCAGATACAAAGAATTCTTGTGCATTATGTAGGCAAGGCATGTGACTTTTCTTAGATGGACCGGTTTTTGGTTTAGATTCAGTTTGTCATCCGACCATCGCAACTACTTAACTGTTAAGTTTTTATGCTTTCATATGGTTCCTTTTTAATTATAATTTATTTTGTGCCCTCCCATACAAAACAGTGTTATGCAAAACTTTGTATAGTTGTGTCTGTATTCCATTATCACCATCTTGGCCTTATTCTGACTTCCCTCACAAGCCTTGTTTGCGCAGAGAGTTTTGAGGCTGATGATACACGGGACAACTTTTTTGGACCAATGCTGCTTGGCCACTTTCCCATTGAGAATGGGTAACAAGTTTTTATCTGGATATTTTAGATCAGACGTGGGCCCTGTGTCTCACCTGGTTGCCCATTGATGGCAACATTGCCCAAAGTATCAGTTGCTCTGTGTATCATCAGCCTGAGAGAAAACTCTTTCTAGATGGTTTGATGTAACTTCCACTTCCTAGGTGAAACATTAGTGATACATTAGACATTTGCTTGGATATTGTTTTATATTTGCTTTATCTCCAATTGAATATATTTATCCTGATTTTTAAATACATGTAAGTTTAAAAACATTTTCTGACAAAACAGTGATGCAAGTTAATTATGGGTCTTTGTGAAAATATTGCATAACTGTAATACAGTAAAATGAAAGAATTGTTTTAATATCTGAATATAATGATCCATTGCTTAACAGGAGGCCCACTTGAGCAGGGTGATATTGAGGATCTGGGCAATGGGAAACTGGCACTGATTTGCCCATGGCATTACTTTGATTTCAGCCTTGAAACTGGTTCCTCTTCCACTGGACTGCAGGCAAGTTGTTATGATGGTCCAGGTTAAAGGAATAGTTCAGTTCACCCAAAAAAATAAAATTCTGTCATGCACTCATCCTGTATTTTAATTACTGGGTGAACTATACCTTTAACGTACAGTGATCAAACTGCTAGAATTCTTGATGTGTCTCACACATATTATTATCACCAGAACCAAGTGTATGATGTCCGTGTACTGGATGGAAAAGTGTATATAAATACCCAGAGCACACTGTCCCTTTGTCCCATCCCAGCGACAAAAATAACCCACCAAGGTGAGCAATGACCGAATACAAAAATATGAATTGTATGACATGTTATGGTACACAATACATGCTTGTGCTGTATTCTTTGCAGATAGTTTGCCTGTGGAAATAACTTCCTCAGAAAACACACTTTGCATGTGGGCCACCAAAATCCTTCACACCGCAGACCCACAGGAAAAGGTTTGGAAATATCCTTTAACATGTAGTGATTGACTAAACAGTATCATTCACCACATCTCAGTTTTATCAGACACTTTCTGATTACGCAAAATAAATCGTAGTACGACTTCTGCTTGTTTGTTTTTCTGTATGGAGTAGGTTTCATTGACCAAGATAGTGCAAGAGAACTGGGACAGCGGGAAAATAACAGAGACTGGGGAGGCCAGCCCTCCCGCGCAGCCTAACAGAAAAGACAGTCTGACTGTCGTGGAGCCTGGAAAAATCAAACGGGGCAAGGGTGGCACACTGGTAAACTTTGTTTCACTTAGACACTAGTTTAAGCTAAAGAGTAATTAGGTCAAAATAAAAATGGTTTCTGTTTCAACAGGCGAGTAGGATTGCTTTACTGCACTCTCTTGCTAATATAGAGCAGTGGGCAATAGACCTGTCCTGGGATGTGATAGCAAGATTCTCCACATTTAGATTGAGCAATGGTGAGCCATTGCCTCGCCAGTTCTTTGATGACTTTGTCAAAGTAGCAGGAGATGAAGCCAAGGTTTGTATACATGTTTACACCTTTTATTTATTTAGGCTAAACGCTAACTAAGTAACTTTGATTCATTTGACATCTGCAGCATTATCAGTTACTAGAGCAAAGGATTATGGAGCTTGGCAGCTTCTTTGGTGCATTACCAGTACACAACGGTCAGTGTTTTCATGTGTTTGTCTTTTTAGGTGATGTTAGAGTCAATATTAGTCTTTTTTTCTTTTCAAAAAGGTTTGTGGCAATCGGCAACAGATACGTCTCATGACCTTTTGGCGAGGCTAGCTATAGTGCACATGGTCCACGAGGCCAGGTAAAACACGTCTCATGTCTGTCAGATTCTGTTATTTTCATGTATGTATCTGAAATGTGCATGGTTTTTACACAGAGGTTTGGATGTGCACCCTCAGACTCTGTCCCGCTTCGCTGCGCAGGGAGACACAAGCTCAGTGAAGGTGTTGGAGGTGATATATGCTGATGAGATCACACATGTGGCTGCAGGGCTGAGATGGTTCACATACATCTGCTCAAAAGAAGGACGGGTAAGAGATCTAACAACACAGGTTATTTTTGTTTTTTTTTACTATGTAACAGTACAATTAAAATGGTGTTTAAAATTTCACTGTAAATGACTGTGAAAGTGAAGTATTTAATCATAAAATGATGTTTTATTTTTTAAAACATGCCTTTGCTACTGCAAATAGGCTTGAAATGCTTAGGTAGTAGTCTAACAATAAAGCTGTTTTTCCCCCCCTCAATATATTTCAGGATTCCTTAAAAACATTCCATGAATTGGTGAAGTTGCATTTCAAAGGGTTTTTGAAGCCTCCATTCAACACAGAGGGAAGGAGGACAGCAGGGATGACAGAAGAGGTATACATACCATTGTTGAATTTCTGCAGAATTATTCTATTTTTGTTTTTGTTTTGTTATTTGTCTGACTGCGTAACTTAAACCAAATGATAATCTGGTTTATCATGATCAACCTCTTTACCTACAGTGGTATGTTCCTCTTGTCAAGCCCTCCAGCAGCTTACAGAAGACCTCCTGATTGGATTTATTTTGATTCAAAAAGAGGAAACCTGTTTTGCATTCTGTAAAAAGGACTTTTAATGTAGAGTGTGCTTGCTTGCATGGTCGTCAGATGAACCCTAAGGGTAAAGAAATCACAGAATGGATTTGTGAATCCAGGAATATTTGCATTAATTTTTTCCCCCTCAATAACCACTATTTAATGTTTTCTTTAATTCTTGTGTAAGAAATGAAATGTAATCAATTAACTTTAGTTTTATGATATTTTATTTAAATATATTAAAAGACAAATAAACATTCTTAAATGTCGTTTCAGCAGTTCAGTGGTCTTGCTGACAGGGGGCGCTCAAAGGTTTTGCTTTCAGCTGAGGTGTTCTGTGTAAGGGATGCGGTTTACACTGCTGCTGCTGAGAAGTTGGATTTTCACTAATGGTTTTTCGAGTAGGTTTTCATATTTAGTTTGAGGGTATTATATCCTAATTTAAACTGTTTTAAACTGAATCCAAATGCAGAAAAGCATGCCCATCCAAAAATAACAGATATGGCACATTAATTTGTAGGAATTTGTAATAGAATTCAACATTTTTAATAGAAAAACATGAATTCGGATTAAGTTTAAAACTAAATTGGCATACTGTTGATTCTAAAGGATGTCTGATGAAGGTGTGTGGCCTGAAATTTCATGTGTTTGGTGAGAATTCCATAAAAATTCCTTTGGGAACAACAGTATGCTGACTTGGTTTTAAATTCAATCCAAGGCCTTAAGAGTTCTGTATCAAATGGATAATTAATTATCACTCCACCTGGCCATAGATCCATCAGTTTAAATATGTTCTCAGCATAGAGTTGAACATTTTTGTCAATCCTTGTAAACAAAGGTCATTAGCATAGAGTTGAAAATGTGTGTCAATTCTTGTAAAAAGGTCATTTGAAATATTTTTTATGTGTTGGGTCTGTTCTGTTCACTAAGATTTCCCCACTGCTCTTAGGTTCTGATTCTTGTTATATTTAAACAATTGCAGTCATTACACAGCTGAGAAATTACCCTGAAATATGATACAGCCTTTTGAATAAATGGTTTACAGCAAACTCACTTTTTCTATTCACAATTAATGTTTATTCGTCATGGTTCTCTAAAGATTTTTCCATTTCTTCAGATGGACTGTAATGTTGAGATAAAGACAGTACAAGCATGAGCATAGAATCTGTCTCTCTGCGTGTGTGTGTGTGTGTATTACCCAGACGTGACAGAGTTTTCCGTGCTGTGTGAGCCTGTGTCATTGGTTTTCACTTCTGCTTTTTGTATTTTTGTGATTTTTTTTCCATCATGCGTGGTGGTGAAATTTGCAACTGTCTTTAACTCGAAAATAGCTTTTTGTCTAATTTATAAAAACTACCCACTTTGGTCATTGTATCTGCTCTTTAAATGTGTCCTTCCCCATATGTACACACTATACAGACGTGTGAATGTTGGTCCTGCATCACAAAAGCTACTGAAATTTAAAGGACTTAAAGTTACTTAATTAATGCAAAGGTGAATAATAAAAAAAGTAATGAAAAATATAATCGTCGACTCAATACACAGGGTCATAACTATGGTAAGAGTTCTGGTCCATTTGCTGTTTTCATAGAGGAAAAAGGTTCTCTCTTGTTTTCTCCAAGTCTTTCTCGCTTTTTTATGCATATGTTTACATGTAAATCTTCCTTTCGGTGTGGCTCTTCCCAAGTATCTCTCCACTGAACTGGTAGGTGAGTTTTTTCTTGATCTTCCTGACTTCTCCCGTTTTGCCATAGTTTCTCAGCGCCCTTGCCATCTTCTGGTAGGTCATCTTCTTGCGGTTTCCCTTCTGTACGCCCCAGCGGTGTGCTAAAGCCTCTTTGTGCTTGGAAGAGAACTGGAATGTTCCTTTTTCTCGGTCAACCCACCAGACGCTGTCCTTCATGTCACCATTTCGCAGAAGGTCCAGCAGGAACTGATACAAGCGAATTTTCTTCTTGTTACCTTGAAAAACAAAGGAAATGAACACCAACATCTAGATTCAAAATCTCAAAAGTCAACAGGTTTGCTTCACTTGTCCACTTTCCATAGATCACTATGGCTGTTTCCTTATGAGGTGAGACTGGTCTTAGCTTTTGTCCTTACCATGCTCTCCTCCTGTTGTCGATGTAATGTGGTCTCTCATACACTCCTCATCAGACACCTCTAATGGAGGACTGTGACTGACGGGGTCATCATCATCTGAGCTGCGCTGGAGAGGAGACGGCTGTACACTGTGAGGGTAACACACTGATGGCCGTGGCAAATATGTCATCTGTGAAGACAAAGTATATAATTATCAGAGAGAGAGAGAACATAGAAAATAGAGGTTCCAATTAGAATCAATTAAATTGAATTCTATAACTATTTAACAATATGCTGATCTGAAGATGATGTAAAACTTGAAATGTACATCCTGGCAAAAAGTTACCAGTACATTATCTGTTAAGTTTACAGACTTTTCTCCAGAAGAATATAGCGCAAACAAACTCTAAATAGCAAGAACCATTTAAGAATCCTTATTTGAAAGGGGGGAATTCTTTATATGTGAGGAAACCATGTCTGTGCAGTCAGCTGGTTTGAAATGGGTCATCTGGAGATTTCAGCCTTGTTCAACATTAACAAAGAGGAACTTTACATTTTTATATATTGCCGATATAACATTGCAGTGAAACTTAAAGCTGCAGAATATTTTGTTTATTTGATAACAGCAAGGGCATCTATAGAATACCATGGATGTATAGTATGTTTAGAGGGAGAGAAAGAAAGAAAACGTTATGAAAGAATTAATTAAATATTAAGAAATGTATTTGAAAAAACAAACAAAAAAAATAACTTTTTCAGTTAAACCGCTTCACTGTAAAAAGCCCTTACAAAAACCCAAAGTGTCAAGGATCGTTGCAGTCTCATGTGAATGCACACACAATGCTGGGGTAGCAATTTCTTTTGACATGTCAGTTGAAAAGTCTGATGACTTGAGGAGAGTGTCCTCACAAACACATGATAGTCATACTATTTTGAAATTTTAGTCAGTATAGGGACCAATTCTTACTATTATTAACTACTTGCTTATTAGTATGCCTAGTAGCATACTGGCTGTTTATTAGTAGGCTACTTATTCTACATGATTATATTCTAATCCCTAATCCTACACAATACCTAAATTTAACAATGACCTAACTAACTATTAATAAGCAGCAAAATAGGAGTTTACTGAGACAAATGTCGTAGTTAATGGTTTGTTAATAGCAAGAATTGGACCTTAAAAGTAAAGTGTGAATGAAACTTCCAAAAAACGAACTAACTAAACAAATCCATTTTTATGTGGATTTGTTACACCTTTATCTTGTGCTGGGCCTCAGAAGTCAGATGGTAGTTGTTGTGCATTTAGGCCCTTAAAGACGTGCCTGTTTTTTAGAATGTATATAATACTTACATCTGCAATTAACACTTTTCAGCGTGATAGAGTGATACTCATCTACTCAGCCAAGAAAGCAGCATTGCTCTCCTCAGGCTTAAATGCAAAAAAAAAAAAAGCTGTCATTGCTTAGGGTTTGAGGTGTAAATAACTAATCTACAGAATAACTGCTGCTGAATTCACAGAACAGCCCCTTTAGAAATTACCATGGTAACCGCAGTTTCCGCCAAAAATAACAGTTATTGTTGTGGCTTAGCATTAAAATGTGGTTGCTTGGTATTAGTCTCACATCAAAATAATAATAATAAAAATAAAAAAAACAGTCAACTGTTTGAAAGAGATCGCATAGCAATTTATTATGGCTTTAGTAGTGGCAGAACTATAATTACCATGGTAAATTACTGCAGTCACGGTTTACAATATTTATGGCCAACTTGTGGTTTGTGTTAATAAAACCTTTATATTGTTACAAAGATGTATATTTCATTTGAACTTTCTATTCATTCAAAAATTCTGAGAAAAAAAACGTATGGTTTTATGGTTTCAACATTGACAATAAAAAGAAATGTTTCTTGAGCACTAAATCAGCATATAAGAATGATTTCTAAAGGATCATGTGACACTGACGACTGCAGTAATGGCTCCTGAAAAATCAGCTTTGCCATCATAGAAATATATAACATTTTAAAATATAATAAAATAGAAAATAATTATTTGAAATTGTAATAATACTTCGCAATATGAATGTTTTACTTTAGTTTTGATTAAATAAATGCAGCCTTGGTGAGCATGAGAGACTTCTTTTAAAACCATCAAAAAAGCTTAGTTATAATAACATTTTTCTCCAAGCATCATGCAACTGCCAATGAGTCTGAGCCCGTATGACGTGGATGGATCTCTGCTTCCTCCTACAAGGACGTCTACAAAGGAAAAGCTTTCTTTTGCGATAGACTTTATGGTTAGTCTGCCTTCAAGAAGAAGTCCAACCAAAGGAAGGGAAATCAATCACTGCATTATGCAAAAGAGATCTTAGATGATCTATTTCAAAAGGTTCTCTTTGATTTTCCACCCACAGAGAAGTCAATATACACGTATATCCTCTTTCTGTTCAAATATCAGCAAAAACGACACCAAAAGGTCAAGCAAACAGACCTTGTTTTTTTTATCAAAGCTGGTGTAGAAGGTTTCTAGAATGTAGCTATTCATTTACATTTACATTTAGTCATTTTGCAGACGCTTTCATCCAAAGCGACTTACAATTGGGGAATACATAAAGCGATTCTTCTTAAAGAGGCAAACAGACACAGGAAATCCTTGTAATACCAAGTTTTAGGCATTGTTCAAATAAGTACAAGCTAGAAAGGGAAGGACAAAGTTTTTTTATTTATTTAATTATATTCTCTAATTAGCTATTCTCTAATAAACTGCCTAAAACAAACTAATAAAGGTTTAAAATCCCTTATGGTTTAAATATAAAATGCTAACATCATATGTATTTTGTGTGTTTGTGTGTGTGCAAGGTTCATGCTGTAACATTTGTGCGCTTGTATGCTAGTGTCACAATAAAGAGTGGTTTTGTTTGTGTAAGTGGGGCTGTTCTGTGTAATGGCAGTTGATGAGTTTGCAGACTGACAGTGTTGAGTTTTGGTCAGGATAAGGTTTAGTTGAGCAATAGCTTGGGCACAGATGCGTTCAACAACCTCCTAACTAGCATCAACACCCACTTGTGTCACGAAGCACCAGATAAATGTAACCAAAAGTTTTTAAACCCAGTTTTATAGAAATACAA